GGCACAAAAGAGCTCAATGCTGGCAACTTCAACACAGGGGAGACGATACAGCAGTAAAGGCTGCTACCAAGAAAGGCTGTTGGAACTGTGGGGAGCAATGACATCTGAGGAGCCAGTGTAAGAAGAATACTACCAGTAAGTCAGCTTTGGGAAACCAGTAGTGGTTGGCGCTGAGGGATGCCCATTAGGCCCCATTGTGAAAGTCCCAACAGCTAAGTGTAAAATGGCAAGCACACATAGTGTCTACGTGACAGGAATGCTGGATGGCCAAAGGTGCACCTTTGTCATAGATTCTGCATCTCAGGAAACCCTTGTGAGTATCAAGGTACTGGATCGAAAAGGAGTACCAGAAGCCATACGGAAACTCTGTGGTATGACATTACATTATACAAGGTTGTGTGGGTAACTATTGAGCTCATGGCATGAAGAACAGACACAAAGTATACTTGGCTGACCTTGAAGACCCATGCATATTAGGGTTTGAATACTTACTACCAAGGAAGTGTATAGTTAACTTTGATAAAATTACGTTTGGGAACAACAAAGGTCAAATTCTGGCAAGTGTTGCTGTATCTATTTATTTGCATGTCACAGCCCTTATGTAAGCTACAATTCTCCCTATGTCAGAAAAGATAATTTGGGGTAGAATAAAAGAACATCCTCAAAGAAGCCTGATGCTTGTGGAAGCAGTGGAAGACCCATCCAGGCCAGCAGATTTGAAGATTGGAAGGTCACTTGTGGCAGCTCATCTATTAGTACCCATAATAGTGGCTAATTTCTCTAAATGTAAGCAGACACTTAAGGAAGGGGCATTGTTGGGTGTGTGTGTAAGCAGGTAGAGCAAGTCAATGTTAAGGCAAGAAATACAACTATAAAGAAAGGACATCCTCTCCCAGAACAATTAACTGACTTCTATAAGAAAAGCATTGTTCATTTGTCATCATTACAGGCTCTTCAGGTTAGAGAACACTTGGCAAATTATGCAGACGTCTTTTCGAAAGGAGATCATGACCTCTGCTGCACAGATCTTGTGAGCACAGAATAAACACAGGCAATCACCTTCCAGTAAAGATCTCTCCAAGGAGAATAGCTCCAGCAAAGCAACAAGCGATACAGAAGGTCATGGATGGCCTAATTAAGGAAGGAATAGTCGAGAAATCAGATAGTCTCTGGTCAGGAGGGGACCCAAAGTTGCTGTGTGGACTTCAGAGCTCTTAAGAGTATAACCGAAAAGGA